TCCCTTTCCTAAAAGGGACCTTACCTAGTTAATCCATCCGGAGACACGGATGAAGGGAACGCGAATAAGATGCGTGGTACTTCGTAACACGCGGAAATAAATGAAAAATAAAAAGGAAACGTGATGAGTTTGAGAAAGCGAAGTCATGAGTTAGTCAGTCAGCGAAGTCATTATCGCGGATGTTGTTCGCCCTTCGATATCGCGCTCTTCCGCCCCGCGAAGTGTGTCGTCGATACAAAACGAGACGCGAAACTCGCGGCCGGTTGCAGCCACTTCTCGTTCAACGGGCTGCATGCGACTCACTAACGCGGCCCGCGTGTTCGACATGCCATAGCGGCCGATTATAGCTTGACGGACAACATTCACCGGAGAATTCGAAAAACTTAAATCGTTCGCGGAAAGGAGGAGCGTGATGCGGCGGTGGCGGGCACATCGAGAGGGTCGGACGAATAAATTTCGAAAGTTTATCGCGGAATCGCATGCCGACTAATGTCACTTTATTACCGGTAGAAGACGACGGTAACGTGGAGACAGTCTCGTCTTCAGGGGGTCGGGAAGAAGGGGGGGGTAGGGGGGGAACCAGGTAGGAAGGATAAGTTCGAAATAACCGACAGCGACCAGACCCATTGTGCCGGCAGGAAACTTGGAAAGTCATAATAATTATCGGCGAACGCGGAATTATATATTGCGTCCCCGTGACAGGCCTGCTGTCGTCGTCGTCGTCGTCGCCGCGAATCGTCTTTGCGCCTCAGCATGCAAACTCCACGGAATATGTAGCTACGTGCTCTGTGACATCCTGACATTAATAATGCGCCGGGGGATCCGCCTTTTATGCCGGGGGTACCAACCGCGGTACCATCTCCGAGGACTCTGCCCCAGAAGGGGTCTACCGAAATCGTGCCGTTTCGTTTTTACACAATCCGCGCGAAGCCGTCTGATTTATGACTGGAGAGAGGAGTCTGTTGTCGCGTCTGTGCCCCCTGTTTAATTAATCTGATGAAAATTCGCTCTTATTTTTCGCGAAATATATTATCGTATTATATAAATTTCGCTACATTTCATGGTAACGATCGTAGATTTTCACTTCGTTACGATAGAAAATTACCACACTGGCGGAATCTAGCTTTTCATGTTTTTTTTTTTTTCTTAGAATTTTCACGCCTCTCGAATCTTGTTATTAAATAATGACGCCTTGTACTTTGGATATTTTTTGAATTTTCATTCTGAATTCGTAGCTTCCCCTTTCTCTCTCTCTCTCTCTCTCTCTCTTTTTCTCTTGGCGTCATTCTTTCACGTTCGTCCGCTACTCGCGAGATGCAAGATGCGAAAGGCGGGAAGGGAGAGATAGAAACCTGGAACGGTAGTTCTGGAATGGTGGCAGGGCTACCCGCAGAGC